TATCTTCTTTGTAAAATTTATGCTTAGACTTACACTAATTTTTGAGTAATGTATAAGCTGTTGTCATTTTTTCAGCTTACCCTAATTTTTGTATCTGAAAAAAAGAGACTTTTGTTTGTACGGGGAATGTCAACTTGGCCAATTTTTAAGCAAAACACTGTGGTTGAAACAAGCCTTGTTTGATTCTGAGCTATAAAATGTAGCTTTAAAACGATGCTCTAGAAAAACAAACCACACCTCGGACTCATTCCTCTCCCACTGACAAAGGCCTGAAGGGTCTGAGAGAATTGGGGTTCTGCTTGGTCATAAGTTCAGAGCCATGGGGCATGCATCCCCTCCTAGCCAGCTGTGGACACAATCCACTAACTGTGTATTGGGGGTTGTAGGGGAGGAAGAGACAGGTCCCTGGATAAGTGGGAGAACCCTCCATCAGGCACATTGCAGCAATGCTGAGTTTCCATTATTGGCTGGAATTGGGCATCTTAGAAATCATTGGTCTGCACAAGTCCACTTGAGGGAGCAACAGGTCACTGGGCACTACAGACCCGAACTATGAGATCTGCTGCTTTTAGCCACAGTCTGTCTGCTCTTTGCTGTCGAAACACATGAGTTGCTCTGTCATTTAGCCAAAATCCATTATAAAAGCAACCAAGAATCTGACACCTCGTAGGCAATGTCTCACTTTTTGTCTAATGTCTTTAGCAGAGTGACCCAATACAAAAATGTATATAATGTAATCCACCCATATGATGTTACATTTTCTCAGAGCTATTTAAAAAAAACTGGCAGAGTTAATTTTAATATTTTTATATACCCTAATCCATCTAGACTAGGGCATTTCAGTGTGTAATCCATATAACAGAGATAATGAGACAATTTCCTTTTTCCCTGAGTCTTCGAAATCCGATGTGCGTTTTATATTTATTCCACATCTCAATTTGGATGTTAACTTTTCCTATTTGGTACATCGTAAGTGCCCTAACATTTACAGCTGAATAAATAAACTTACAAATGCGAGTTGTTCAAACACAATTGCTGTTGTGTGCCATCGAGTGGATTCCAGTTGCTAGTGACCCCGTGCGACAGAGCAGGCTACCGAGGGTTTTCCAGGCCGTGGTCGGTGCAGCAGCACGGCACCAGCTCCTTCTACAGAGCCACAGGGGGAGTTAGGATTGAGGAGCGCTCCACCATCCTGCCACCAGGGCTCCTCAAACGTAATTTTAAATAATTGAATTATTTTAACACTTAAGAGAAATAGAAAATTCAGTTCTTCGGCTCACTGTGATCTCATGGTAACTCTTTTTGTATATTAGCAATAGAACTTTCTCATCCGTGTAAGTTGGAATAGCAGGCTGCTTATCTGTATAGCTATTGTTGGTTTCTCCGATTTCTGTGTTCAATATAGTAGCTACTTTTTAAGTTAGTTTCCTTTTTGAAATGCTTATGTAGATATTTTATACTGTCTTTTCCTATGTTACTGTTATTAATAAGAATGATATTTTCTTAAGACTTGTCATATGTGTTTTACTAGCATCAAACTGCGCTTTATAAATCCCTTGAAGATGCTTGAAGAGACATTTCCTTTGCTTTTTTATGTCTAAAATGTCTGACTTTTACTTAACTTGATAGAGATACCACCCATTTGGAGATTGAACCCTTTACTCTTCTTGGCGTGTGTGCTGGCCTGATCCCGTACCCTCATCATAACCAGTCCCCAAGAAACACCTATCAGTGTGCCATGGGGAAGCAAGCAATGGGTAAGCTGTCTTTCTTGAGCGTGGTTCTAAATACCTGGGGATAGACTTGCATCTTTGTCTTCGTGCACTATCTTTGCGTCTTGGGCTACATCAGGTGATGGTAGTTCAGAGGGCTGCCTGAGGACCTACCTCTGTAATGCTTACAGGGGCTCCTTTCACGTGCAAAGCTTATTAAACAAGCATCGAGAAAGCCTCTCTGAACTTGATTTCTTGACCAAGCAAACAGACCTGTCACACTGCCACAAGCAGGAAGGGGAAATACGAAGAGAGAAGCCCTATGAAGTGTAAGCTGTTAATCAGGAGAGGGAGGAGTCCCAGGCTGAGGGAGGGGGAAAATTAGAGACTAATTGCAGTCTGACTAGAATGGATGTAGTGATTTTTCTGGATGACTGTCATTGGACCCATTTTATCTTGTATTTGCTGCCGTGTAATCTTCAGCTCAGGTCACACTGATTTCTCAGTTCATTATCCTTCCTCCTTTCCTTTTATCTTCCTCTCCTCCATCAATCTAGTCTCCTGTCTGTCCATCTCTCTTTAACACTTATGGAACATCTGCCAGAGACAGGTCGCAGAGCCGGAGTCAGAAAGCATACAGAAAGACAGCTGTTCTCCAGGACGTTTCCGTCTAAAGCACAGGCCCCCAGACTTACTGGACCCACTGTCCTCCTTTTCAGAAAAAAACCAAAACAAAACAGCGCCCCCTTGCCAATAAAAATGTTAGTACTATAGCCCATAATCCAGGATGAAGTGTAAGTATCTGCTTCTGCAGCCCCCCTGGATCATTCCAGTGCCCCTACCACCACCACCACCACCAATAGAGCAATATCAGCACTTTGGAAAACGATGGTCTAGTGGGAGAAATGAAATGAACGGAGTATGAGATAGTGTGTAATAAATTCTGTAGTACACTAACAGTGAGGAACTAAGGAAATCAGAGGAGGTTAACACTTAAGGGGCAGAAAGTGGGTTTTTGTGCAGAATAAACTGAGCTGAATCGTGAAAGACAATGAGTATGTTCTTAAGGTAGGGAAGTGTAAGCAAGCCTTGCACAGCGAGTCCTGGCAGTGTGATCCGTGGCCATTTTGTACAGAATGGGTGTAGTAGAGCTTTGCATGGGAGGATCCTTATTAACGAGTTTGGGTTTTTATCTTGAAGGTGGTACAGGTGGGTACAAGGCAGGAAACAGCATCCTTATTAAACTTACTTTCTGAACAATGTTTTAATTCCTTAACTCCCAGTAAATCTAATAAATGTCACTTTCATATGCATCTGTGACACCCCTCTGTGAACTGGAATAATTGTATATGGCTTTTCCAAGGTCTTTTAACTCATACCAAATGATGGGGTGGGATTATGCAAATAAAGTGCTTGTGGCTCACCTGGAGGATTGAACAGTGTCACAATACTAACAATATGTGTGGAACCCTGGGGTACCGGGTGGTGGTGCAACTATGTATATAAGGTTATGGAACCCCTAACATAGGGATTGGTCAGTTTTGCCTTTCATCTGGACTTGAAATGAGAACTCCTAGGATCAGGGTCTGCTGAGAAACTCCTAAACCTAGGATGCAGAGAAGGAGCTGCCCCACCAGAGAGGACACGAGACTGTGAGGCTTGATGGCAGCAGAACAAGGAGACAGCACACAGTGGGGTCCCTGCCCCTCGAGTGAGGCTGTTACAGCAGATGTACTGCTGACCCACAGAGAGACCAAGCTGAGTTCTTTCAGGATGAGGCAGAGTGACATGTCCTTTGCTCTTATTGGTGGAGCTATTGAGCTTTGTAACATTTGTCCACCCAAGGCAGAGGCAAGACCTAGGGTCAGAGAGGCCTGCTGGCCTGCTTGTGGACACAGTTTCAAAGAAACAGTCCCGATTGAAGAACTGTATCCTCAGTCATTCCTGATCTTGAATTGTAATCTTACTTTCCTAACAAATCCTTTAATTGTGAGTACTGTTTGTGAGTCCTATATGGCCATTGCAACAAATTATC